CCTAGGAAATGCTTCTTCTCACTTGGGCGTCTCAGGGACTCTGAGAGTCAGCCCGTGTCCAGCTAACCACCATGTGTCCTTCCAGATTCCAGGCCGCGGCGCCTTCGGAGATCTTTTAAGCGGTCCTCGGTTCCACACCTGCCCCCACCTCCCACAATACGCATTATTTAGCTGCCCAGTGTTCTGTATAAAAAAAAGATCTTTCTTTTTAATTTTAACTATAGTGTTTGTTTTATTTCTCTCCCTTCCCTAATGAACTATCATCTCCTTACTGTTTCTTCTGTGCCTGGCAAATGGTAGGCACAGAGCTAGTTTTTATTGACTGAATGAATGCATGAATGAATGAGTGTGGCTTAATGCAGACAAGTGGATCTCTGGAAAACTTGGTTATGTGACATAGAAGACTGATGAAGGCCTTTACTCTTCATAATCTTGGTTAATTGGCAGTAACTTAAAAAAGCAGTATAGCTGACTACAAATTCTGTTAGCTTACAAAATCTTTTTTATTTATCTATGTTTACTATATATACTGTGTATTATTTTATATTTGTTACATATTACATAATATATATTATTTTATTTTTAAAATATTTACTATGTAGGCCCTTATTTTATAAGCAGAAACTGTCTCCCATGTTCCTGTAAATTTAATCGTTACAGGTACATACATTTTAGTTTTTAGCCATGTTTCCTCTAATATTATTAAGTGAATATAATCATTTTACAAGGGTTTATATGAGCCAAATATCATTGCAGGAGTTAATCTATACACCTTACATAAGTAGGAAGAGCCTGGGCACAGTAAGGGATGTCCCTGTGTCCATTGTCTGGGGCAGACATTTGTCTGCCCAGTAGTTTTATATACCCTTTCATTTTTCTCAAGTCCAGGGATTCAGCATAATTTCATCTTTGGAAGTTGACACTTTATTATTTCCTCCTAGATTTCTTTCTGCCCTGATTGGCGATGAAATGAAACATTTTCTTCTCAATAACTCCTTGATGGCCCAATAAGTAAGTCAAAAAACCTAGCTTTTTAAAACTTTATGGTCTTTCCAAAACTTCTGGAAGCTTTCTTGGTTTTTGCTGGGGAATCATCCAGTGGAAGTTTCAGTGCCCCTGAAATCTGTTTCTTACCCTTGTCTCTGAATCGGGATCTCCCGACTGCCGCTGAGGCCCCGGGAGTGAAAATGAAACTCCTTTTGGGCTCCTCCCGGGTTCCTCCCGGGTCCTCAGACAGGCCTCAAGCTGTGAGTCACCCCCTTCACTCTTCAAACACACCTCTTTCACTCCCTGGCTCTGCACCTTAGACCTCAAATATGGTTGGTTTCTCTCGCTTATTCTTTTTTTTTTAATTAAAAAAACTATTGAGGTATAATTGACATACATTTTATTAGATTAAGGTGCACAATATAATGATTCAATATACATCTATATTGCAAAATGATCACCCAAATAAGTCCAGTTAACTTCCACCACCACACAGTTACAATTTTTTTCTTATGAACTTTCAAGATCCACTTTCCAAGCTACTTTCAAATACATGATACAGTATTATTAGTTACAGTCACTATGCTGTACGTTACATACCCATGACTTATTTATTTTATAACTGGAAATTTGTACCTTTTGACTCTTTTCACTCATTTCACCCACACCCCACCCATTCTCAAAATGTGCAAGATGTATGTTTCTCTTTCTTCTTCCTAAACATTATCTAGACCCCTTCTAAGTTCCATGGCTCCATCAGTCTAGGGCTCAGCTTTCCTACCTTGCTGCAAGCCCAAGGCTCAGCCTCCTGGACACAGAGATAAAGCCCGCACCTGCCCTCAGATTGTCATTGTCCTTCCCTTTGGCCACTACTGACTGCTCCAGTCTCTTCTCACTGCGGAGAGACTGGGCTCTTCTGGGAGGTTTCTTTTAATTCATGAGAGCTCAGCAATTAATGATCCTTCACGCAGAATTCTCCTTGCTGCCAGAAGTGGAGGTCATCCTGTTCCCAGACAGGTTCTAAAGAGACCATTTTCACAGAGCTCTGTGGTTCTGAACAGTGCTCCGTGCACCTTCTGGGCCACCGTGGTCATGACAATGCTGGTGTCGATGGTGACGGAGACGAATGAGGTGGGAACAGAGAGATAAGACTCCAGGCCCTCCAGCCCAGCTTTACAGAGCATTTTTCAATGTGGTCTGCATGTAGAATTTTAATGACAGAGGGGTTCCAAATCTTCAACATTTGTTCAAATCAAATGAATGATTTCATTATTCAAAGTTAGGTTTATCCAATCTACTCAGCTCTAAAAGTTCTTTGTGATTTAATGGCTTTTTACAAGTATAGGTGTTTTTTTTTTTAAAAATGTCAAAGTAGTGTAAACACATAGAAATGAGTAGAAAAATCCAGTAAGAGAAGAGAGAAGTCTCTGCCTCACAAGGGAGACCATGCTTCAAGGGAAGATGGGACAGAGGAGTGATCAGAAGGGTGGGTAGAGATTTTTTAGGCGAAAGACTATGCTATTTTAAGAGATAGTAGTAACAATAATATTTCAAATCTCATGAACTGTGATGTTCCTCTAACTTTGGTTCATAGGAAACTATTCACGCCATCAGATTCATTTATCCATGATCTAAAACATATATATTACGAACATGGTCTTCTTGGAGCAGATCTGCCTACAGGTAAATTGTTATGCCTGATTTTCGTCAGTCCATTTTTATGAGCCTATACTAAGCTAAAACAGATACTGGAAAAACAAGTATATTGAAGTCAAGATTTGTATCAAAACATCACGTGTCTCTAAGAGCTGAGCTTGGTAGGACCTGTGGAGCTTGTTGCAATTATAGAATAATCTCTTCTGCAAGATCTGAAACCTTACTAATGTAGAATGTTTCACTATTTTTGGTGTGTTTAGAAAAGCAGCCTGCTTACTGGATGCCAGATGCATAAATATGTATAAAGTTCCTCATCCAGTTTTGTTTAACCCTTACAACTATTGAGTGGTTTTTATAAACTTCATTTTAAAAAATGAGGCTGAGGGAGGTTCAATAACTTGATTAAGGTCTTGTAGCTTGTAAGTGATAGAACTAAGTTTGAAACTCATGCCTGTCTGATTAGAAAGCTTTTCTGTATGTGTGTATACATATATATACATACACAAATATATGTATAAACATATATATACATGCTTGTATGTACATATATATATATATATATATATATGTATTGGTTATTTTATTTTTTAATTTTTTTTTTATATTTGTTTCAGGTGTATAACACAGTGGTTAGACAATTACATAATTTATGAAGTGATCTTCCTGATAATTCTACTACTCACCCAGTGCCATACATAGTTTTACCACCTTGTTGACTATGTTCCCTACGCTGTAATTTACATTCCTGCGACTATTTTGTAACATTTTACTCCCTTCACCTTTTTCACCCATCCAGCCACCCCTCCCATCTGGTGACTTCAATCTGTCCACTGTACATACTGTCTCTTTCCTTATCTTGTCATAACCACCCATGAATATAGTTGTCATTATAGTGGCCATGGTTCAGGTTTCATAGTTAAATAAGACTCCTTTGAATCTTATTTTATAAAGAGTTCTACTGCCACTTTTCATAGAAACCTGGTGAGATTAGTTACCGTGGCTCTCTAAATGAAGAAAGCAGAAGAGAAGTGTTTGAAGTCAGAAAGGAGACTTGGCTAAAATGACAGTCCCAAGGACCTAATCACATCACACCCTCAAGGAACTTCAGAGCCACCTTTACCTTTTACTGAGAATATTTTATACTAAATTGTCAAGGAAAAGCCAGTTTTGAAGATATTAACGTGAGGTAAACCTATCCTTTTAGGCAGAATAATGGGATTTCTGAGACTTTTTTGGTGCTCTCCTTAACCGCTCCAAGAAAACCTTCTTAAGTGCATACCGTAAATACTTCTGGAATACTTCACTTTTTTTTAGGACTGTCAAATATATTTTACTAACGAACACAAGGAGCATGTGGATAAACTCTATATAATGGCCAAAGGACCATAGTAAATTGTTTTGAAAAGTGGAATAAAACTCTGCTGTTTTTGCATATAATTTTTCTTTGTCCTGTAGTTTACAGTTCTCTCATCGGTATATAAAATGAAAGAAATACATTGTAATTTTGATGAGGCCAGCACTAGGATTCATAAAACAGGCCTTTTTAGCACAGTCCATATTGAGTTTTAGGTGCTCAAAGGAAGTGACAGAGAGCTTTCTGCTTACGCCATCAAGCTTAAACTGCCTTCCTTTATAGCTTTAATTATAAATTAAATACTTAACATTTAAGTATATTACTTAAATATAAAAATTTAAATCTAAAAATTAAAATAGTTATAAATTTAAAAATCTTAAATATCACATCATATTTTATAAGCAAATATAAATACAAGAAGAAAGTAAGGTGATTGGAGAAATTACTTGACCAGGAGACAGGAAACCAATGCCTTGGTTAAATCATTTATGCCATTTGGGACCTCTGTATCTTTTAAGAACAATAAGGGGATTGGACCCCAATAATCTGAATTTTTATGCTCATGTTTACAGCAGGTGAACCATCTATATAGCTGCTACAGGCAGAAGTCCAATAACAGCAGATTTGCTCTGTGTGGAGTGGAAGTGTGAGTGTGAGTGTGTGTGTGTGTGTGTGTGTTGGGGAGTGGTCATCTGAGACTTGGTCTTATAATTCCCTTTCCCCTGTAGAACTTCTGTAGAATTCCTTGTACTTTCAGGACTTTAATTTGAAAATCATTATTTAAAGAATTTCTAAAATCCTGCTCTAAGTGTCTATTATTTTATGAGATCTTGGCTAAAGAAGACACTCAGGTATTCTCTAGAGTTTGCATGAATCTAGAATTGCCCAAAATATTTTGGCTAGAAACTAGCCATTGTGGTTTCTCAAGTATAACCTCAGGCAGTTTTTTATACTCATGTGTACAATACATTAAACTTTAAATCAAAGAAAACAATGAAGACTCTTACAGTTTTATATAACTCTTTGAAATTATGGTAGAAAGGCCAGGAAAATAGAAATGGCTTTAGGAACATATATTAGGCTTACAGTAATCATCACAATCAATTACATAGTTTATGTGACTAAGAAAAGGCAGGTGGGAAAAAATACATCCTACTTGGAAAACAAAAATGCATTTCCTGGGAAGAGACAAAGGAAATAATAATGAATAGATGGGGAACGTTGTTGGTTATAGAATCAGGACAGATATGCCAAGAGAGTGAAACCACAGAGACTGCGCTGTAAAATGGTGTCAGGCAAGCTGGCGTGGCAGTTCGCTGGGATGGCTGCTGTGGTGAACATCTGCTTTCAACAAAAAGGCAAATATCACGGCACCAACAATTCTAGGCGTCTTCCCAAGAAGTCTCTTTGCTCAAGCAAATGTTGGATGCACAGCTCCAGTTTCTGCTGGAATTCTGGGCAGCTTGTTTATTTGGTCAACACGCTGATGGTATGACAGGGCAGATGCAATCAGACTCATTCCTGTGCTTCTTGCATGCATAGGAGGGTAGACTCCTCCGAGGCCTGAAGGGATGGTCTTGGACACATTTCAAAACTCTGTGCAGCAGAAAGAGAATTGCTGCATGACTAAGCACAAATTCTGCAGGTCTGAACTTCAGCGATGTTTTTAGATAGTTAAGGAACCTGGTAGCTGATTTCAGGCCATACTTACCTCCGCTGCTCCTGCAAGAAGCTCTTCTCACACAGGACAGCATCCTCAGACATTCTCAACATAGTCATGTGGACAGCAGTGGATCACATTTAGACACCGCAGAAGCACACTCAGAAAATGCTGCAGAGAAATTGTGCCATTTTGAAAGGTCAACCCAGTACTAAGCCCTGAAAATCCCAATAGAAGAACCACATTTAAGATTTTTGTTGTTAATACACCTGTCTCAATTCTGATGCCTAAGAAACTCTCAGACATTCCACTAAAATAATTAGTAACAATATTGAAATAAACAGCACAACCATCAAGATTCTTTCAGACACTGAACAGCAAAACAATCAGTCAACTTGCAACTAAGTCTACAAAACAATCTATAAATATTCGACCTAAAACTGACAATTAGAAGTCAAACTCACCACAAATGAGGATCTAAAATTTCAAAGTCATTTTATTAATATAGCCAACAAGCCTCTCTCAAGGTAAAATAGAAAGACAAGCTAACCAATAATGAGATACAAGGTTGGGGCAAGTCATTAATATTGAAATTCATTCCTATGGTTCAACTCTCTTGGTTCTGGAAGGTGGGAAGAAAGATGAAAGAACATTTTCTAAGCAGCTCAGCAGTGGTGGGCTGACACTCAGGCAGGAAATTAAATGCATTCCTACGCAGCATTGGTGGGTATAGGTTGTGAAATGCAAGGAAACAGTAGCAGACGAATCAACAGGCCGCGTCATAAGAAGATAGTTGGACAAAGAATTGTCATGTAATCCTTGAGAGAGAAAACTAAACTACTAAAAAACTTTTTACTTAGAAAATTACTTAAAATTTGGCCTTTGAGTGAATCTACAGAGACTACTACTCTAAAGTATTCTTCGTAATAATTACCAAGCATTATATTATACTAAGTAATTATAAAATAATAATTATTATTATTAACACTATAATTAATACTTATTATTCTAGATAGTCCAACATATCTATAAAATTTATAATTGAGGCCCTAAGTCGCTTCCCTCTTTATTAAGTCTGTATGTACACTTTTGCCCCTAGCTGTTCCTGGAGCTACTATCTCTATACATTTTCAGCCTGTTAACCTGCCTACTGTCAGTTAAGTCACAGGTCTTCCTTTACCTTCCCAGCTCCCCGCCAGCTGGACCTGCACTGGTGGAGGAGATGTTTTTCTCCCAACAGCGAAAACCTGAAAACTGCCGTTGCTGGGCATAGACACTGAGCCTCTCTCTCGTTGCTGACAGCCCATCACAGGACCCTGCCCAAGGCCGCTGCCGTGGGAACCAGGCGCAGCTGCAGCAACGGCTCGCCCCTGCTCAGCTGGCTCAGCCGGGCCTGCTTGGCCGCCGGAGCCCCCACGCTGTGGGCGAAGCCCCGCGTGTCTGCGCCCCGGCTGCCAGGGCAAAGGCTGGGCAGGCACTGTCACTTTCAGCAGTGGTAGCTGGGCTCTCTCTCAGAAGGCTCTGCATGCTTCTTAGATTGTGTTTTGTTCCTTTTGTTCACCTAGAAGAACAAAACAGCCCTTCAAAAACACTGGGGAGGCGATGAAATCTGCCAAAGAATGTTTCACCTGGATTCAAGGCAAGAGCAAGTTCCCCTTTTCCTTTGGCTGGAAGTTTAGGAATGCTCGTTTCCGATCTCGCATAGACCAGATGCAACCCAAGGCATTAAACCCGCAACAGGCCATTCAGCCCTCCACGCAATTTACATATTAACTGCCGGGCATATGAAATGCTAAGTTTACGAGTCACAACAAGATAGCTCTGACTGTCAAATTAGAAGCTCAGGGTACTATGCTCAAACAATTTTTGCTTTAAACATCATTACCAATAATAACCCGTGGGATCTGAGCTCAGCCGGATATTTAGCTGGTGATGTGTGAGGTCGAGTGGAATGCAGCCGACTGCTCGCCGGCTCTATTAGCTAAGCATGGCTGAGCGGTAGAAACTCGCTTTTGGGAGCTTGTCCAGTGCAGGTAAATATAATTTTATATAGCCACTTAGGAGTCTGGAGACACACAGGCTGTCTAATTAAAAATGCCCTTTTGTCCAGGCTCTTTTCAGACCCAAACTGCACTTTCATTCAAAGGAATGCATAAATATACATGATAATTGACTCTAATGACAGGAAAAGAATGTGATGAAACATTTCCTGATAGATCTAGTCCGGGCCTGCAAAGAGGATCTAGATTCCTCTTCAGTTACTGTGATTTACAGCAAAAAGGGAAATTCTCCGGGCGAGGCAATTCTGTTCTGAATGTACAGTGTCTGTATGAAGAATAGCAGAGGGCCTTTGTGTTATCTGGACAAGGGAAAATTATAAATGTTCTCTAGACGGAAAGGGAAAATCCCATTTGACAAGCCCGCTCCCCTTAATGGCCTTTTTAGTTTCTAGGTGTCCGGTCAATTTTTCAATTCCCCTGCAAGTCTGTTGTGCTCCCGATTGCACAGCAGTTGGGCTCCGTAGGCAGGATGAAAAGGACATTGTTTCTGGGCTTTCTTCCATTGTTTTTTTAGACCGTGCCTCTAGCCGCACTTCCTCTGTTCTATTAGGAATCTGGCACTCTTCAGAGATATGGAATGCAATTAGAGTGATCAAGCATCTGAGCGCTTGAAAATGAACCTTTAAAACGAGACCCAATTTTAGAACCCAATTGCAGGGCCATTCCCTACGTCTGGAGGTGGTAGAATCGACAGAGAACTCCTTGCACGTAGCTCTAGCTATATATTAATAAAGCCCAAGTTGACAGTTATCAGAAGGATAGTTGATCTAATTTCTTATCTTAAAGTCATTCAGTGCTGAGCTTCTCACAGAAATAGCTTCAGTTCTCTTAGGAGCAGAAATAGAAAACAGACACAAACAAATACAGCTCTGGGGCGATGAACAAATATTCCATCTGATTCAAAACAAAGGATTTTGGCAATCAAAATAATCATCGATGGAACAAACACCTTGATGCTGCATTAAACAGCAAGCACCGGACCGTTAGTGTTTATAATGCATATTATATAAGAAAAGCAAGCGGCCACATGCTTCACACACGGGTACACTTCCTTGTAACAATGTAGGTGGTTTTAGTAAAGGATATGAAAATATTTTTAGCTAATTTAAAGGCTATGTTTTCAGGCAGTGCAGGTTATTTACCCAAACAGACTTCTGAAATCATATTATGGGACTAGTCACTCATCACTGTATCAAAATGCATAATCTTTTACGATAGCCATTTAAGTTAAATATTCATCTGCTACAAATTTAAGAATCAGTCGGGCCGGGCGTGGCTCAGCGGTTGAGCGTCAACCTAGGATCCAGGCGATCAGGGTTCGATTCCCGGTCAGGGCACATGCCCAGGTTGTGAGCTCGATCAATGACTCTCTCCTCATTGATGTTTCTATCTCTCTCTCCCCCTCTCCTTTCCTCTCTCTGAAATCAATAAAGATATATTAAAAAAAAAAAGAATCAGATAGCCGTGGCTTTTAAAATGGTCACCTTTGGCTTCCGAGATTCTGTCTTGTGCCTTAATGAGTTTTTCTCACCTTTTCCACTCCAGCAACTGTGATGACTGAATCCTTCACTTGGGAAGTGGTTTTCTGGTCCACACAACAGGCTCCAGGAAGGTGGCAAACAGGGCCCACCGTGCTCAGGAGACCGTTAGGGAGAAAATGAGGGTCATGTTGCCTCATAGAGTCATGGTGGGACCCTGGAAGTAGAGAATGTCCCTTACCTCGCCACCTGTCACCCCTTCCCATTACCCTTGTCTTTAGATTTCCTTTGCTCCCCACTTCCTGTCCCTGGGCCTGAGGGGACAGGAATGACCTTCCTGTGAGTTAGCATCATACACCTGGAGGAGCCTTTGCTTTTAAATAACATCGAAGGTGGGGGAGTAACTTCTAAGGAAGGCTTCACTGTGAGAATCTATTTTTCTTGACAGCTTTTACTTCCTAGCTCTTTAGAACACATTTCTTCACTCATTTTCACTCATTTACTGAATTCGGCTTCCTCTGTCACCATTTAGGGCTCCTCTGCCCACACCTTATGGGTTGGTGCCCCGTAGGTTTCCTTCACCCCTTACTGCTCTTCTCTTTCCAACACTTTGCTTCTCTGGTGACCACATCCATGTTCAAGATTCCAAACACCCACCTGATCTCCAGCTAACACCTTGCTCCTGAGCTTCAGATTTATATCCAACTCCGTTCTGAAAATCTTCATGCAATGGATTGAATGTTTATGCCTCCTTAAAATTCAAATGTTGAAATCCTAACCCCTAAGGTGATGCTGTTAGGAGGTGAGGCTTTTGGGAGATGATTAGGTCATCAGGGTGGAGCCCTCATGAATGGGATTAGTAGCTTTCTAAAAGGTTCTGGCCCTGGAGAGATCCCTCCCTTCTGCCACGTGAGGTTACAGTGAAAAGACAAGGACCCTGAACCTGGAAGTGAGTTCTCACCAGACACTGAATCTGTCAACCTCTTGATTTTGAACTTCCCAGCCTCCAGAGCTGTGAGAAATAGATTTCTGTTGTCTATAAGCCACCCAGCTGGTGGTATTTTATCATAGCAGCCTGAATGGACTAAGACACTTCAGCTATCTTCAGATCACCTTAAACTCAGCTATCTTCAAACTGAATTCTTTATTCTCTCTTGCATAACCCTGCTCCTTTCTGGTACCAGTTAGTAGCATCTACGTGCACACACAGGAGAGAAAACTGACGTCAGGTCTTATGTTTTCAAATAAGAGATGGCTCTTGGGCAAAGCCAGGTCTGGGAGGGGCAAAGAGGAAGAAGGGAGAGATCTTTGACTTGGGAGTTTGAGTCTCTGGTTTCAAGTTCTGCTTGACCACCATGGAAGATGGCCCTGAGCCCAAGTAGCTTGCTGCCGGACAGGAGACCTGGGGTGGCAGAGAGAACCAGAGCTTAGTTTTTGTGGTGAGGGGAAGCGTATCAGTTAAAACTCGCTGTTAGCTGCTGGTCGTAGAAACCTGAAAGAGCAACGTTTTAGATAAGAAGAGGTTTATTTTATCGCAAGAATGGCCTGTACTATGTATGCAGCCCGGGGCTTTTGTGGTGGTGCTGTGATGACTCCAATGCCCCAGGCTGCTCTGTTCTTAAATACTCAACCGCAGTGCCTAGTGCCCACCCTCAAGGTCACCTCAGGTGCACAGAAAAAGCCTGCTGGAGTTCCAGTCATTGTCCTTTGTTTCCTTTAGGAAAACAGGGAGAAGAGCAAAGGAACTTTCGAGCATCCAGTGCATTTTGCTGGCATCTCATTGGCTATCCCCACTGAGATGGGGGCTTAGTTAAGAGAATGGCTTAAAGGATATTAGGTAGGAAACTAGCAGTCTCTGATGTACACGGTCCTATTCCATGAGGCGGTCCAACTGTAACCCCCATTCTCCAGAAATGGAAACTGAAGCACAGAGAAGTTAGAAAATGCGCCAAAGTCTCCGGCCCCTTAGTGGGAGACTAGATGTTCACGGGATATTATTTGAATTTTAATCTCCCTATTTTTCTTCCTCATGACTTTGGTATTTTTTTTCCTCCCCTGTATTTCTAAATATTTTAAACCCTCAATCATACAGTGTGTCTTCATTTATAAATCACTTTCACATGCGTTATCTTATTTGATCTCCATAACAACCCACTGAGGTGGGTAAGGTAGATTTTTGTCACTTCTACTTGACAGATGAGAAAAGTGATGTTCACAGGCACTGTTGTTCAGGAGCACAGGGTATTAAGTCTGGAGGTGCATTAATGAATGCCTAGTCCGGCCCACGCGTTTGGAGGAAATCGAGCCTCGGAAAAACTCATGTCTTTCCCTAGGTCCCGCAGCCGGCCTGCCCTCAAACACTGTCTGCCTATTGTATTGTGTTCACCACCCCAAGTCAGTGCTTCTCAGCGTCTCTTTGATTCACTGTCAGCTGGGTGCTATGGAAGTTACGTTGCCTTTGGAGTCAATTATTCCACTCCTCTGTGCTACAGTTTACTTATTTATAAAACGGGGACATTATTATTTACGTCATAAGAGTGTTGTAAAAAATAGTCGAAATCAGTATGTAACAGGCCTGCCACAGTCCAGATGCCTGTTCAGTAGCCAGCAGGTACCAGCTTTTTTCACTCTGTCCTTGCCCTTCCCTCCTTCCTCTCTCTGAGGTGGTTGTGAGGATACAATAAGACAAATACTTTGTCCATGTCACATGTTTGATTTTCTCCCATACCACGGAGCTAGGAAACCCCCAAACCCCAAAACCTCCTCCCCATCTCCTTGCTTTTTTCCCCGATTACAATTTACATTCAGGATTATTTTGTATTGGTTTCAGGTGTGCAGCGCAGGGGTCAGACAATCCCATACTTTAGAGAGGTTCCCCTGGTGTTTCCAGCGCCCACCTGGCCCCGCACGTGGTTTTGCTAAATATCACTGACTGCACTCCCTGGGCTGACCATCTCGCAGCTGGCAGCCTGCGCGTCTCGGTCCGTCGCCCTCTCGCCCCGTCCCCGACCCCTCCCGTCTGGCGACCAGCCGCCTGCCCTCTGCTGCGGTCTTGTCTGCTTGTCTAAGTTGCGCTGTAGATTCCACGTACCGGTGGCCGATTTCCTTTCGGAACCGGGCGGTCTCCTCGAGCTCAGCCCTTCCACTCCCTGCGACGCTCTCCTGCGCGGCCA